AAATAATAATAAATAACAGATCAAAATTAATAAGTACTAGGCTCTGGACAAAGAATATCTTTAAATGGATCTTCTACATGTTGACAAATTTTTGTATACAGATATCTTTTTCTATCATCTGTTAATGGAGCAGTCTCAAGAATATTTAATTGGCCATTCTTATTAAAATCATTATTCTTTAAAAGTTTAAAAGGAATTTTTGAGTCACCAGATTTTTTAGAAACATAAACTTTTCCAATATCATCACCATTACTACTAAAATGAAAATGATGGTATTTTGTTATATTTGGCAAATTTCTAAAATTATCTTTGAATAATGTGTTAAAGTTATACCATCTCCAACCTACACCATTTTTATATCTAAGAGATTTATTATTATTTTCTATTGTTGAATCATTTATAGCCTCTTCAACATGATCAACAGTATTAATACATCTATTTCTATATACTTTTTTGATTGATCCAAAAAATCCATCACAAATAAATTTAGTATGTCCAGCATAAGGTTGTGGGCGAAACCTCTTAATGACTGTCGAAACTCTGTCGAAACTCTAATGAACAATTAATGTGTAACCTGTCGAAACTCTGATGATTGGCGAAAACCCCAAATGCGAAACTCTGCCGAAACTCTAATAAACAATTAATGTGTAACCTGTCGAAACTCTGTCGATTGATTTCTGGAGGAGTTTCTCCCGCAACCTTAGTCCAGCAATCATAAAATTTATATAGATATTTTCATACCAACCCAACATTATTAACCATGACCAAAACCAGAGTGATAAGTTATTTTTATTTTGTCCTGAACAATTATCACATGTCACATATAGATCTTTTTCACCACCACGAATCTTTTGAAGAAAATCAAAAACCATATTCAAAGTTGTATTTGCCCCTTTTGATATTCCTTCTGGTAATTCATCTTCCCCTATTGTATAATTTAGCTGAAAATTATCTCCATTATCTCTTTGAGTACATATACCAAAGATATTTATTTTAAAAGGAATTTTAAAATAAATTGAGCCAACTTGTTGAGGTGAATATGGTGCAGCAACACTTTGAGCCCAATCATAACAGATGTGAGTTAATGTTGGATTATTTTTGCATTTTTTTCTAACATTATTATAATGTTGTCTTTCACAATCTGCAGCTGCAAGATGTTCATCAAACTTGAATTGCATGTCAATCTCTTCATCCTCCTCATTTAATGATTT